CAATTGACAAGATACAATCATGTTAATTTTAATGTTAATGTTAAAATTTTAAAGTTATTGATCATTGCAATGATATCACAATCTCTTTTTTACATGGGTGCTTCTACTAGTATTCTTATTGTTAATTATAATTTGTTTGTTTTGTAATTATTCTTTTGTGTAAGTTTGTTGAAAAACAATATGAGCCCAATGTTCATTTGAAGACATAATATTATGAAGGCAGCATATGTATTGTTGTTGGTTTGTTGTAACTTATTTGTGGACTTATTTGCTTGGATATTTAATTTCTTTCAATTAGGACTTTAGTTTCTAAGTTTCATTATGTCTTTTATTTGTATGTTGTATTTGAATCATTTGATGAGACTTTTATTTGTTTGAATTTAGTTGTTGTGTAAGTTATTATTATTATTATTGTTGCTATTATTATTGTTATTATCTTGAAAGTATAATATTTATTAGGTTTGATTAAAAACAGTTATAAAAGATCTTAAACTCGAGCTCGAGCTCAAACTTCGAGCACCAATAATTAAGTTTTTATCAAATATATGAATCGAGTCTTATCAAGTGAGCTCAAGTAGCTTGATTTTGATCACGAATCAAGCTCGAGCTAGGAAAATGAAACTCGATCGAGTTCGAGCTAAGTATCGAGCCACGAGTTGGGAGTCAAGCTTGAGCTTTCACTGTATTGGCTCGACTCGACTCAATTACACCCCTAGGTTGGAGTTAAGGCCAATCAATACAAAGAGTTATAAAACATTACTGGAATTGATGGAGAATACTTAAGGGGACAGCTTTGATTTTTATATATTACGTGCTTTTAGTATATAAATAGGTGCTTTGGAAATACTGGAGAAGTAGGATTTGGGTTTTGATGAGCTGAGGATTGAGCTTTCTTGTAGATTACATGATGTAATGAAAAAGCAATTGTTTTCAAAAAGCTATGAAGGGATATAATTTGCAAGATAAACCCTTCCAAAATGGTGCTGCAATGGTGTCAACCTTAAACTCCTTGAGGTAAAATGTTACAATTCATTAGAATTTCAATTGGTTTGGATTTTCGAAATTAAGTTGACTTGGTTCATATTGCTAACAAATCTTACAAACTTTTTTTTCTTTCAGTTCATAGTTTAGATTTGGATTTTAATTTTTATTTAATACAAACTCTTCTAATTTGATTTAAAGAATTTAACTAAGTTTTACTTTACATTTATAATCTTATTTATGAAATCTATTATTATTGTTATTATTATTATTAAAAAATAAATTATTTATTAAATGTTAGTTTCCCACTTTGGTTAGAGAACCTTAGAATAAAACATGCATGCCAAAAAATAATAAGAAAGGCAAAATGAGGTATCCTAACCACTCTTTATACTTTTTTGACAATAGATGTCCTAACTTAAATTTAATTAAAACAAGTAGATTGTTGTTATTTTTTAATAAGAAAAAAAAAACAGAGTATTACTATAGTAAAGGCAAATGGAAATTGAGAGCAATGTATTTTGGAGCAAAAAAAACTTAATTTCACTTAACATAAGAAACATTACAATATAAAGCTTAATTAATAATGACTTACTAAAATTATGGTCCTAAGATTACGCCATTACCACAAACATGAATAACAAAAAATTAACTAACATAAAAAAACAGGAACAATTTAAAACATTCAAGTAAACAACATTTATGAATCTATATTAACAGTCCTAAACACATCTTTTAACACTCTTCCTTACTTTAGGAGCTGCAAACATCAAGTTTTATCCTTAGAAATTCGAACTTGCTAACGACAGTGGCTTGGTGAAAACATCTGTAACATGATCTTCTATTTTGCAATAGACAAGAACAACTCTATCTTTCTATACTTCTATTAAGAAGAATAACTTAATATTTAAATGCTTAGTTTTTCAGTGAAACACAGGATTTTAAGAGATAGCAATAGCAACTTAGTTGTCAATAAGAATCTCCATGTTTTTCTTCTGCTCTAAGTTAAGATCGATTAAAGTTAAGATTAATTAAAATCTTTCTCAGCTACAAAGCTTGATTAACAGCAGCTGTTGTAGTAACAAACTCTGCTTCAGCTGTGGATTAAGCTATAATTTCTTATTTTTTTGAGCTTTATGAGAAAATACTAAAACTAAGAGTGAAACAGTGACCTGAAGTGCTCTTCATATCTTTAATAAAACCCTTTCAATCACTATTTAAGAAACCAACCGACTTGAATTCTTTGCCCTTTGTGTATTTAATGCCAAAATCACATGTGCTTTTCACATATCTAAGCACCCTCTTTGTAGCTTTGAGACGCCATTCATTTGCATAGTGCATAAACTGAGACAAAATGCTTATAACATTCAAAATATCAAGCTGAGTTACTATGAGATACATTAAGTAACCAATTAAGCTTCTAAAATATGCTTGATTAATCTTTTCTGTTTCATCTTTTTTATAGAGCTTTTCTTTTGAATTAATTGGTGAGCTCATTTTTTTACATTCTTCAAGTTTAAACTTCTTCAAAATCTCATTGACATATATTTTTTTTTATAGATGAAGACTTTATGTTCATTCTATTTAATTTCCATTTTAAGAAAAAAGATCATTAATCTGAGATCTATCATCTCAAAAAACTCTATCATCTCTTGTTTAAACTTTTCCACAATACTTATATTATTTTTTGTCACAAGCAAGTCATCCACATATAGTGAGATAATAATAATGTCAGCTCTATTGTGCTAGATATATAATGTTGATTTAGATAAGCTTTTAATAAATCCCAAGTTTTGCAAATGTTTATCAATCTTGTTGTACCAAGCTCTTAGAGCTTGCTTCAATCCGTAAGTGCCTTTTTAAAAAGATAGACCTTGTCTTCTTCTTTTTGTTTTACATAGCTTTTTTGTTGGTCTACATAAATCTTCTCTAGCAGAAAACCATTTAAGAACATTGACTTGACATTTAACTAGTATACCTTTCAATTCTTTGACGCTGCAATGATAAGTAAGAGCCTGATGGTGTTAAGTTTAGCAATTGGTGCGAAGGTATCTAAGTAGTATGCACTGAGTATTTGAGCATATCATTTGATCATGAATCTAGCTTTATACTTATTGATTGAGCCATTAGCATTAAGGTTGGTTTTGTACACCCACTTGACTTAAATTACCTTTTTGTTTTAGGGTCGTTCAACCAACTCCCATGTTTTATTCCTTTCAATCATGAACAGTTCCTCTTTCATTATAGCAATCCAATTTTGATCCATCTTAGGTTTTTCATAATTTGTAGGTTCACACACAACAATATTGCATCTTTGATAAACATCAGAAAGTAGTCTTATGCCTCTGATAGGACTGTCATCCATCATTTTATTCTCTCAATCTCTAATACTATGTTTTGCTATGTCTAAAACAAAAAACTTGAGCTTGGGCTCTTTTGATGTTGGATCCATGTTCTTTGCATCATCCCAGTTCCACTCTTCGTCTTTCATAATGTGTACATCCCTACTTATAATATTTTTTTTAGTTTATGACTGAAAAACTTTATAAGCTTTTGCAATCGAGCTATAACAAATGAAGATGCCTAAAAAATATTTTTTTATCTAGTTTATCTCTCTTAATCTATGAAACATGAATGAAACATAAACATTCAAATATTTTAAGGAAATTCAAAGATGGTTTACAACCATACCATGCCTTAAAAGGTGTTTGATCTTTTACTGTTCTTATGAGAAGCTTGTTTTGTAAAAAAATAACAGTGTTTGCTATTTCAACCCATAATTGCTTTGGCAGGTTCTTCTTATGTAGCATACATCGTGTCATCTCCAATATGAATCTATTCTATCTTTTTACTTACTTTATTTTATTGTGGAGTGTATGGCGCGGTTAATTGATGTTGGATGCCTGCCTCTTTACAAAAATGATTGAATGCTTTAGAGGTGTATTCCTTGCCATTGTCTAATTTGAGAGTTTGAATTTTATAGCCATTCTCACTTTCAACTTTAGCTTTAAAGTTCTAGAAGACTTGAGCCACCTTTGACTTGTGCTTTAAAAAGAAGATCTAACACATATGGGTGAAATTGTCAATGAATGCAACGTAATAAAGACTACCTTTCAGAGAAGGCATTTTTTGTGGGCCTACAATGTTAGTATGAATTAATTATAGTTTCTTTGATGCTCTTTATGTTGTCTTGAGAAATGGTTTCCTATTTTGCTTTTGAAACTGATATGCTTTGCAGTTTGGAATATGATCATCAAGTTTTGAAAAATCATTTGCTATCTTCTTAGATTTCATCTGTAGTAGCCTCTGATGGTGATAGTGTTGAGCCTCTTATGCCATACTTCAATGATATATTCTTTGATTGGAAAAGCAGTTTGCTCATTCTCTAATGGATTTAGAGCAAAGCTTTTTCCTTTCATTTTTACTTTAAAAATATCTTGGCCAACTGTATCTTTAATCAAGCAACTTTTACTTCAAACATAACTTTATAACCCACATAAATTAGTTATCCAACACTTAACAAGTTTTGATCAATTTCAGGGACATACAACACATAAAAAATGACTTTGTACCTTAATAGGTTGAAATTGTAACTGTTCCTTTTCATTTCACAATTATGTACTTGCCATTACCAACTCGAACTTTCGATGAGTTTACATTGCTTAGTTTCTTGAATAGATCTTTGTCATGTGTCATATGGTTAGTACAACCACTGTTTATAAGCTAACTCTCACTTGATTCGATGCCAGAGAAACATGTAGCAATGAACAGGTGATCCTCATCTTCTTGATTAGTAATTTTTACCTCTTCACTTTGTTGTTGATTTTTATTTTTACAGATAACAGTTTCATGCCCTATCTGATTTCATTTAGTGCATTTAGCATCAGGTTTTCTCTAGTATCTAAATGGAGGATGACCTTTTTTTTCTGCAGTGTTGGCAAAGTGGATCGAATTTCTTTTGATTTTCATTCTTTTCTTTTGCATTGGCTGATGATGTACTTACCCTAAGTCTTTCAAAATCATTCTTTTTCTTCTTTTTGTTTTTGGCCACGTTTTGATGCTTGGCTGTCAAAGCTCCTTCGATTGTCCTCCTTCATCAGTCTCTTTTGTTTTTGTGCTTGCAATGTGTTAAGCAATTCTACTAAAAAAATTTTGATAGATCCTTGGTATTTTTCCAAGGTAGTGATGGTTGCTTCATATCTTTCAGGTACTGTAACAAGAATTTTTTTTACAATTCTTGAGTCAGTAAATTCAGATGCAAAAAGCCTCACTTTGTTTGCTATACTAAAAAGCCTGTCAGAGTAATCTTTAATCATCTTGGAGTCTTTCATTCTTTGAAGTTCAAATTTTTTGATCAAGTTCAAGACTTGCATCCTTTTAATTCTTTCATCTCCTTCATATTTGTTCTTGAGATAATCCCATATCTCTTTTGCTGACTTCAGAGACATGATACGAGTGAAGATGGTGGATGAGACTGCAGCAAACAAGCAAGCCTTTGCTTTTGATTTTTTTTGTCTTTCTTTTCTTTCTACTCTTTCATCTGTGCCATGGTGGGATTGTTCAAAAGTGCAAGAATTTGATGGTCTTCTTCCACTACTTCCCAAAGATCCAAAGCTTCAAAGTATATCTTCATATGTACTATCCAAATCTAGTAGTTGTCTCAATTGATCACCAACGGAGTAATTGCAAAGAGACTGACTTCGGCTTTCATGATGTGTCAAATTCACACACAGATCCCTTAAAAAGAGAGCTCTGATACCAAATGTTGTTATTTTTTAAGAAGAAAAGAAAAACAGAGTATTACTATAGTAAAGGCAAATGAAATTGAGAGCAACGTATTTTGAAATAAAGAAAACTTAATTTCACTTAACATAAAAAATATTACAATTTAAAGCTTAATTAATAACGACCCATTAAAATCATGGTCCTAAGATTACGTCATGACCACAAACAAGAACAACAAAAAAATAACTAATACCAAAAAATAGGAACAATTTGACACATTTAACTAAGCAACGTTTATGAATCCACATCAATAGTCCTAAACACGTCTTCTAACGTAGATCATAAAATAATAAAAACAATGTTTACATTGTTACAAGAATTGCAAAAAACTACTTGGATAGAGTGCAAGTTTTGATACAAATATAATAACCACTAAGCAAAATCCAATTAGACATATTTAGAAAATTTTCTTGCAATTTTTAGATCTCAAAATGCTATTTATGTTAGGTTAAAAAACCTCAATCCAATCATATCAATGAAAGCAAAATCAAACAATTAATCAAGCATACAAGAGATAAGAATTTAACGTAATTCGACCCAAACAACTTATGTCCACAAATGAGAAAAAATCCATTAGTTGTAAAAAATTATAAACATACAACTCATATCAATCAACACTCAATAATCAATACCTATAGGCATTTTCAATCTCTTCTAGTCTTATGGAGTATAAACAACTCAAACAAACACATATCTATACATCATACCTATGTAGACCCTTTTAATTTTCTCTAATCCACTCACAAATATTCACACCACCATACTTATGTGGATCATCTCATTCTCTCTAATATGCTTAAATATATACACCTATAAGAGGTTAATTCTCAGTAATTTTATAAGGTGTCTATCTCAGCTTGAAGTACTTCCAGAAAGGGGAAATCAATTGGTGGAAATGCAGCGAATCAGTTGTGCCGAATGGGGCTGCAATGCTTGCATCTCCAGAAAAGAAGTTCCAAATTTTGTTGGAGAAATCGGTACTGACAGGCACAGCCCCAGAAAAGAAGCTTGAAATTTTTAAGGAGAAGTCTGTTGGGAGAAATGGTGCTGCAATTGCATCTTCTCAAGAAAGTCTCAATTAGAATCAATTAAAGTCAGGGTTCTTCAATTTCTAAGTTGGATAGCTACTGCTTAAATTCTTAACAGCAGAACCAAGATCAACATGGAATGGACGTGGTCATGACCAAGAACCACAATCAACATATTCTAATAATTAAGTTTGAATCAGAGCTGATCGATACCATTTGTAATATAATAAACGCATGTAATTCATAAATACTAGCTTAAACCAAACTCAAACTGATAAATAGGAAAAACTTGCATCCTTTAATAGGAAACAAATTGCTTGAATTATCCCCCTACTTTTGCAACGTGTGCAATGGATTGTTTATTGCAGTCGGTTGCCATTTGCTTCCTTTGACCATCCTCTAATTCCCTCTTCCAATGTTTCTTTTAAAATTACTTCTTTTTTCGGAAATTTGTGATTGAGGGATCAATTAGTCAACGTAAATGGTAGAGCAGACAGCTTGTGCCAATTACTTTCTTTTTTACTTTTGTTGCTTGAGAAGCTGTTGGAACCTCAGTTACCAGATTTAAGACCTTAATCTGACAAGCAAATTTTATATGCTTTTCACTTTGTGAATCCTTTGTCGGTGAATAATATATACTTCCATGCACAATAGAAATGACAGGGAATGAGACATGTCAAGCACCACAAACAAAAAAACAAACAAAAATAAAACATCAATAATTTTATGTTTCTTAAGTTGAAAATATTGGTGCACCATCCATATTTGATTCAATTATAAATGTTTATACGGTTTGCCTAAAGGACACTTTTGATTTAGATTTCATTAGTTGTCGGTGGACTGATGTTTAATCAGTTGATATAATATCGAAATTTGCACTTCAAAAAAATTTATGCCTGTAATGTTTTCTAATAAATATAAATGTAAGAGATTTAAAATTACAAAAAAATCTAAAAAAGTTTAGCCGATTTCACTCTTGTCATAATTTCATTTAACATGAATAAATAATAGATATTTATAAAATAATATTTTACGTGAACAAATAAAAAATTTCATTTAATCAAAACTCAATTGATGCATAAATTAAAAATTAAAAATTAATTTCTTATAATACAAACCGATAACTTATACCTTTACAACATGTTCAAACATGAAAAAAAAATAAGATTAAGATATAATAATATGAATTTAATTTATAAATATTTATACTATTCAATATATATGTTAAGCTTAAATTACACAAACAATTAAATACATTTATTTACAATTAATTAAATTTATAAATGCCATAAATTCATAAATAGATAAATTTATGAATAGTTATATTCACGTAATTTAAATTTAATTCATAATTATTTATATTATTCAATGAATGATATATATGAATATAGAATCAAAATATTAAATTTAAATGAAACTAATCTCGAAATACATGCATCCACAAAACATAGCCTCGTTGGGTGATGGAATCTATTTGTCCAACCGCGGAATGTCCGTTCGACTAATGTATCTCCATACGGTTGGATTTGGCGTAACTGCATTGGAGGGCTGGAAGCTCTAGTCAGCCCACCGCACTGGAGCTTTCCTTTAATGCCCCTGATTTTTTTTTCAGCTTTGTCCTTGCTAGTCTACAATATTACAATAGAGCCCCCTCTTGATATTAAAATTTTGTGGATTTGTTTTGTCCATACCATTTTTTTTTCTCATTTTTAATCTTATTAATTATTGTAAATAAAAAATTACAAAACCAAAGCCCTATCTTATATAAATAAATATTATATAAGCAAGTCAAGTTTTTTGTTTAAGGAAATAAATAAATGAAACTTATGTTAATTATTAATTATTTGATTAACAAAAATATGTAACCTTTTACTAATTTTTAATATGTACAAATATAGAAATTATTTTTTAATTATTTTTTCTTTATGCTTATCAAATGTAGTATAAATGCAATACACATTAAAGTTTGAAGAATTATATTCAACTCAATAATTAAATTTTGAATTAAATCTAAGAGATTTAAAATTTAAGTATTATAAAAAAGAGAGGTAACAATCATGAAGTAAGAGATAATTTTCTTTATATATATTAGCTCAATAAAAAATTATAATGAAATAATTATTTGATAAATATGATTCAATTAATTTATATAATCATATTTTAAAAAATAACATCTAACAAATTTCAATACTTCTCACTTTGTCACTGATTTCCGGTATGCATTATCTTTTATATAAAAAAAAAAAACCTAAACAATAATAAGATTATTAATGTAAAATGAATCAAATCAAAGTTCCAAAAGAATACTTAGGCAAGGAAAAAAAAACACAAAATCCATACAATTGATTAATAGAACTCAACCAAATTGTGTACCAAAATTCTCCTCCCGTGCAACTTCGGAAATAGTAAACATAACATGCATTTCGTTTTTTTTTTTTTTTTTAATTTACAAGTATAAAAAAATTATAATCATATTATAATTATAATAAGATGTTTTATTTACATATATATAATTATTAAATAATCAATTAAGAATATAATTAGATAATTTTAATATAAAATCGAATTAAAATTATACATAATAAAATTTAAATCTAAAACTTCTTTTTTATTGAGTCAACATTTCATTCAGTTTCATTTTTTAATACTACTTATTGAAATGATAAAATAATAAAAAAAAAGTTCTAAGAAAATCCTTGTTCACAAGAATGATAAAAAAATATTAATTAATTTAAAATTATAGTGTTCGATTTAATTTAAATCGATTTTTTATTTTATTTAAAATAAATTTAAATATAAAATATATATATAAAATTTACATCAACTTTCAAATCGAAAAAAAAAAAATCAAATCAAATTAAATTATATATTTTTATTAATTTTATATATATTTTAAATTTTTATAAAATAAAAATAATTATTTTATACTTACATTTATTTAAATATATTAAAATAATATATAAAAAAACAAAAAAATTAAAAATTGATTAACCAAAATGAAACCAAATCAATAAAACTCAAATCACATAAAAATTATATTTAAATTCAAATCAAATTTTAAAAATTTATAATATTATCCATATAAAAAATTGAAATTAAATTCGATTCCATTGGATCCATTGTCACTCTAATATTCATTCTGTCCCTCGTGTTCGTTTTCAAAGACGCAAGAAAGGGCAAAGGTTTCCGCAGCCGATTGCTATTTATGCCTCAATAACCAGAGAATTCCTCTCTGCAAAACTCCCAATGATCTCTCTTCCTTCTTTCCATCATTCTCTTTCAAAGCCCTCCCTTTTCCTTCTTTCCTCTTCCTTTCCACCTTTCCTTCAATCTATTTCGTTTGCCCCAACAGCACCACCAAAATCCATCTTCCTTCACGCCTCTAAACCACTCCATGTCAATTGTTCCTCGACCGCCCCCACGCCAACATCGGAACTCGACCCAAACCATACCCGACCCCTTTCCACCCTCAAGATTGCCATCATTGGCTTTGGAAACTACGGCCAATTCCTAGCTAAAACTCTTGTATCTCGAGGCCACAATGTTATAGCCCACTCGAGATCCGACTATTCTCACTTAGCCAAAAGACAGGGAGTTTCCTTCTTTCTGAACCCACACGACTTGTGTGAACAACACCCAGATGTTATCATCCTTTGTACTTCAATTATCTCAACCGAACATGTCTTGGAATCTCTTCCTTTACAAAGACTGAAACGATCCACATTGTTTGTTGATGTTTTATCCGTCAAAGAGTTCGCCAAGAATCTCCTCCTAGATGTCTTGCCCCCTGATTTCGACATCATTTGTTCCCATCCCATGTTCGGACCTCAAAGCGGCAAACGAAGCTGGAAAGACCTCTTCTTTGTCTACGAAAAAGTTAGAATCGGTAATGAATCCTCCAGAGTTCGAAGATGTGAAGAATTTCTTGGAATATTTCAAAGTGAAGGGTGTAAAATGGTGCAAATGAGCTGTCTGGAGCACGACAAGTTTGCGGCGGGGTCACAGTTTATGACTCACACTGTTGGAAGAGTGTTGGACATGTTGGGATTGGAGTCAACGCCGATTAATACAAAGGGTTATGAGACTTTATTGGATTTGGTTGATAATACTTGCGGGGATAGCTTTGATTTGTATTATGGCTTGTTTCTGTATAATAAGAGTGCTCTGGAGATGGTGGAGAGGTTGCATTTGGCTTTTGATGCTTTGAGGAATGAGCTTTTTGGCAGGTTGCATCATGTTGTAAGGAAACAATTGTTTGAGAATGGAGGGAAGGGGAAGAATTTGCAAGAGATTAGTTACCAAAATGGTGCTGTTTTGGCTTCAAGCTCAAATACTTCGAGGTAATTCTTGAATATTACTTTTGTTATTTTAATTGTTCATTCAATTCAACTTTCCTCTTAGCTCTCAAAGACTAAAGACTTTGCGTTTCAATTGAAGGTAAATATGAAAAATTATCGAAATAGAATTTAGAATCTTTCATCGTTTTACTAGTTGTTTATGTTTAATCCTTTTCCTTTGAAAGTTGTTTAATATTAAATTTGTAGAATTTGTTTAGCAGTAGAGATAATTTATTTTTCCAATTTAGTTATTGGAGTAAATGTTGCTTTAGGAATACTTATCAAGATCATGGTCTGAGTTGTTGGGAAGGAAGGATTTCAATATCAATTTTTTCCATAACTTGTTTAATATCAGATTTAATTCATAATCTTTGGAAAGTTTATCATAGATCTAGGATTAGCAGACCTCTAAAACTGCTTGGGAGAGAGTACGTTGAGATTGCTGTGCTGCAAAATCTATTTGAATAATATATTTACAGGCTCTTACTGGAACTTTCAGATCTGAAGATTATATTATACCTTATGAATTCAAAGGAAAGATATCCGAAAGTGTTGATGACAGTTCAAAGCTCAAGATTGCAATTGTTGGATTTGGAAATTTTGGCCAGTTCCTTGCAAAAACCCTGGTTCGACAGGGCCACTTACTTTTAGCTTATTCAAGAACTGATTACAGAGATGTGGCTCAGAAATTGGGGGTTTCTTTCTTCTCTGATGCTCATGACCTCTGTGAAGAGCATCCAGAAGTTATTCTTCTGTGTACCTCAATTCTTTCAACAGAAAAAGTTCTCAAGTCATTGCCCTTTCAGAGATTGAGGAGAAGTACTCTGTTTGTTGATGTACTATCTGTGAAAGAGTTCCCAAGGCATTTGTTTCTTCAACATTTACCATCAGATTTTGATATTTTGTGCACGCATCCAATGTTTGGACCAGAAAGTGGTAAAAATGGGTGGAATGGGCTTCCATTTGTTTTTGATAAGGTGAGGGTTGGAAGTGATGAAAGACGAGTAGCTCGGTGTAATAGGTTCCTTGATATTTTTGCACATGAAGGATGCCGAATGGTGGAGATGACTTGTGCAGAACATGATCAGCATGCGGCAGGTTCACAGTTCATTACCCACACGATGGGCAGGGTTTTGGAGAAGCTAGAATTGGAGTCTACACCAATTAACACAAAAGGGTATGAGACTTTGTTGAGGCTGGTGGAGAATACAGCTGGAGACAGCTTTGAACTTTATTATGGGCTGTTCATGTACAATGTAAATTCAATGGAACAGCTTGAGAAAATGGATTTTGCCATTGAGTCATTGAAGAAGCAGCTCTTTGGTAGATTGCATGGTGTTCTTCGAAAGGAACTGTTTGGAGATTCAGAGAAGTTTGAGGTTTTGCAAGAGAAATCTGTTGAGCGAAATGGTGCAGCTCTTTCATCTTCTGTGGAGAGTGTTAAAATCCATTAGCTCAATGTTTTTGTTTTATCTGTAAGTTGTATGGCTAATTATTTCTATATCTTATTGTAGGTTGCACAATTTTTTGGCCATTATAATAGTTATTTAATTGTCAAAAGCTCAAAAGGCTTTTTATGCCAAAAGTTCTAAAATCAAGGCTTTAATGTTGATGCTTAAAGATTATGCTTGCTGGAGGGCATGGTGGGTTTGCACTTGGCAACTGTTTGAGTTTGCAACTATTTTCTTTTCATATACATGAGATTAATAATTTTTTTGTCTGTTGCACCAATTGCATCATTTGAATCTGATAATTCAGGATTTTTACTAGGACACAAATATTTTATGCACTATTGCAGACTAATCTTATTTGCTTCATTACAGCTATACTGTGAGTTGCTAAACAATAAATTTTGCCCCATTAACTTAATTTCTTTCTCTCTCTCCCCTTTTAATTAGTATAATTCTGATTGATATAATGTATACATATGTATCTACGTATGTGTGTAATATTTATATATGTTTGTTAATTAATTTATTTATATATCTGTCTATCATTCTGATATTGATTTGGCATTGTTTGGTTATTCTTGTGAAGGATTTCACTTGATGTCTTTTTTCTACATTATGGTGATTGGATCTCCCGCAGTTCTCTAAAATCAGCAGTGAAGAATATCGGTAGTGTGCCAACCTCGTGCACATCGTCATGGCTGCAAAATTTTATGTTCTTTGGGAACCGAATTCCAACATAAGGTTCTTTTTGCCATTCGGTTCCTTTTCTGAATAAATTAGAAGGAAAGTGTAGACTAAAAAATAACATGAGCACTGAGATAGGACAAGAGAAATTGTCACAAGCAGTGGCCTGAGGAAATTATTTGATTTTCTGATTCTGAGTAGTTCCTTTGGTTTTCAGATTTCATGACTTGTTAGAGTATGTTGTATCGGTTTGCTTTTTTGTTTTTTTTATTCTTCGGAAGGGAGATGGGCGATTGTTGTATCATTTATTCTGTAGCAATTTTTGGTTCTCCATTTGTTGATGGTAGGTGCTTCAAATAATTGTCCACATCTGATTGTTGGCATTATCATACACGAGAAATGCGTTGATCCGGTCTGCTTTTCACTCAAAATACGTGCACAACCTATCTGAATCAGCAATTCTCTTCAGAACCTTGCGATTTCCAGTCTTAAAACCGCCGGTCAAGGTCTCATTTAAAGTCAGTTATGCTCTTCTCCTCTCTTCATCTTTCATGCCGTGTCATTGATTGGTTGTTGCAATGAAGCATTGGCATTCAGTAGGCATACGCTAGGACCCCTCTTTAAAATTATTCTTATAGTAGCATTTCTAATCTGCGGCAATGTCTGATCATATCTTTACTGGAACTGGTTGAAGCAATGGACTAATGTGACTTGTAGACAGAGGCGAACCCAGGGATATTGGAAAGGTCCCTATTTAAAGGGATTAATCTGACCATTTAGATAGTAAGGAGCCTCTGGCCTACAATTTATAAGCAGTATCCTGGACCTGGAAAAGAAAAAAAGGACAAAGGGCAATGTGAAGTTCCTTTGTTTCCTTAAAATTTCACCCATATTGGCTTTAATTCTCAATGTTTTGGATGCCACTTCCAAGTGCAAGCCAAAAAAACAAAAAAGAAATGCCAAGAACATCAAACTAGCGCTGCTACTATAGGTCTTCTTCCTTGATGGATGTAATGAAAGTAGTGACTGACATAATCTTTCACTTTCTTGTATAATCTGGGACTTGTTTCATTGATGAGCTCTTCCACTGGCTGAATCTCTTGATCAGGATATGGAAGGCAGAAAACAGCCAGAGTAATCCTCTCCCTCTGAGAGTTTGTCACCACTCGGTGTACTGGGCTCTTGAATATTCCATTACTCAATTATCTGTGTGAAGTTCATATATGGAACCACTAATGTAAGTCACATTTCAATTATCCCTATATTCTTGATTTATAGCATCAAATTTATGCAGCAGAAACTGACATATCTTTTACAAAAGAACTTCAAATTGATAGACTAACTAAGTGGTACTGATCATTCTATTCTTATAGAGGGTTTATTATTAGATCATTGGGGCGATTACCTCTACTTGATCACATACATTGATCAGGAAGGCATGAGGAATTATTGGAACTTTAAACCATTGATCATCTTCCAGGATTTGAAGACCTTCTTGCAACAGTATGGTGATTCCTGAACCATCTGCGTGAGGTTTGACCCCAAGAACTAGATTAAGCCTTGGACATATAGGATGGAAGCTGAATCTTGCATGTATTGTTGGTTGGTCTCCGTATTGGTGCAAGAAGTGGTTCTCCTCCAAGTTTAGTAACCTTGCCATTGCCTTTTAAGAGGACTTCAGCGACCACTTTGTAATTTCATTGTATGTTCATGTAAAATTCCCGTGACAGATATGTCAAATATATTTAAGTTGAATAATTGCTGACATTCACCTTGGTGTGTTTTTTTTTTTTTTTTAGGCAGCAAAATAGTGTGCAAGATTGGAAATTTGGATCCTGGGGACATATAGAACAAGAACAAGAATACCTAAAAGGTTCAGGGTTTTCAGGCCAGAACTTGAGTGTTCGCTTATCTTCTGGGCTCAGCGTAAGATACAATCGATCAGTCCAATCAAGTATCTGATGCTTCCAGAGGATCCTGTCATTCCCGTACCCTTCAATGCTGCCAATATCTCTGGAGTATTTCTTCTTTTCTTCCGTTGGAAGAGCTAAGAATTGCTGAGCAACTTCTCGCACTTTGTCCAGAAATTCACTTGTAATTCCATGATTGATTGCCTGAAACTCGCAAAAAAAAAAAAACACAGTTTCGAAGTAAACTAATTTTTTTTTCTTACCCTTACTTTGGGGTGAGTATTCCCTGCATTCTGAGATTGCTAATGCTTTAAGGAGTTGATGATCGAGTTTTAAAAAGATGCCATAACCAGCTCAAATCAGGTGCTTAATTTTAATCATTCTCTCAAAGCTTTATGATTTAAATATATGTAAAAGTCAGAATTGTATGTTTATTGGACTAAGTTGTCTTGAAGAGATTTATGCACTGAAGTTGCAAAACAGCAAAATTGACTTTCATCTGAAAGTCATGGAGTTTGACAGGTAACTTTTTACGTAAGAGTGTGAAAAAATCCAAACCTGAATGCAACCACACGAGGTGAGAGCTGATCTAAGTTTCTCGAATTCTTCTCCACTGGCGGATGAAGATGCAAGGAGATCAAGATCAATAGTTGGTACGTCAAACACGGGAAAAGAAGCATCAAGGGCTCCAGTATTATTACCTTTATGGATGTATCTTTCTTGGGACTTCTTTACTGTTGATAGCAGCCAGTTCCTGCACAGTTTTGGCTTGTCGTTAAGCTCGATAGAAGGGAGAGATTCAGCCATATTTCCTCAGAAAGTAGCTGGGAATTAAAGACCCTTTTCAGTTGCTGTAATGTTGATGGTGTTACCTAAAGGGAGCAGGCAAAGCAAAGGCCCGAGGAATTTGCTAGTTCAAGAGCCTGCCGGAGCCTTTTTTTTTTTTGTTCAAATCTTTGCTGCAATATATATATATATATATATATATATATATTGAGAATTAACTGCACTTCTATACCTTATTTGGAATTTATCAAATTATATAATTGATCCTCTACTTATCCAAAATAGTAAATTCTGTCCCTCTACATACTTCTTTGGTAAAGAGTCAACAAAATTCATTAAATAAGCAAAAAAGGTTAGCACATTATCACATGAAGACAAAGAAAATAAAACATGAAAGGCCTTAAGATAAGAGACACGTCAAAAAAGTTTTCTATCTATGAAAATTTGCCGAAAATTGTGAATAGTGATATTTCATAAACTTTATGGATTAAATTATAAAAGTTTTAAAATTGAATTGTCAAGAAAAAATAAAAACTTTTAAAAATTTATGTGACAAAGTAAAATTTTTTTATTTTTGATTTCTAATTTTTTTCAAAATTTATAATATTAATTTAATAATGTCATATGTCAGATGATGGAACAATGACATATGGTGATAGATGATATGATATTGTTAAAGATTATCGGTCGATGATAAAAAAGTTATATATATTAGTGATTAAATACTAATTTTTCAAAATTCAATGACAAATAAAAAATCAACTAAAGTTTGGTGACTAACGTATAATTTACCCTTCCATTTATCGGAAGTCTTCTATCTTCAGTTTATTTTAAAAGTCTTCTCTGCTTTTGTAGTTTCTGCCTCACGTCATTCATGACTCTAAAATTGTTTTATGAAAATTTCTTTTGGACTAGAATTATGATTGTCCGCAAAGGGTTTGGGTAGCTTCATTATATAATAAGCCTCTATCCCCCCATTAAGGCTATTCATACTCTGCAGAGATTTGAAGCTTGGTTTCCTCTATTGGCTTTGACAGCTACAATTGGCAGGGGATAAAAGATTACAACATGGATCTAAACCAATTAAATATTGGGAACTATAATCCAAATTGGTGTTCCCTATTTATAATAACGTCAAGGTTATCTAAATGAGGTTTGTCGGTTTAGCTGCATATATACCTTATATCTATATGAGGTTTTCTTGTTTTATCTGAACTCGGATGGTATTTTTGCAAGCAGATGATCGAAATATATTTGAATCTTGCACGCAGTTTCAAGCCTATACGAGCCAACTATCGTCTGCATACACCTCATGCTTATAGACGACGAAAAACAAAATCTCTCGACCTCCTTTTCTATCACAATTTTGATTAATAGTAACAGGTATCCTTCTGTGCTGAAAAGTCTCCTCAGAATTAACATGAGGTGGTAGCAGTGGCTGAAATTTAAGGTGACAATGCTTAATGGACTTAGGTTCTCTAATTTTTGCAACGGGACAGTTAAGAGTTTGAAAAAAAAAAAAAGGCCAAGATAGCAGTTTGCTGTATCAAGGGTATTTGTTGTATCAATAAGAATAATTTTGCTTTGGGCATATCACTTTTTTTTTGTCGTATCCTTTATTTTAGATAGCAGTTTTGAGAACCTCATTTTGTTGACTGGAAATTTTTTATCTCAAATCTTCCTGTTATCATTGACATGATGAATAAAAGAAACTGCAGTAATTTTTACCTCTAATGTTCCCCCCTTTTTTTTTTTTTTCTATATATTGAAAATATTGTATTTAATCATTTGCTTCAACTGATTTCTGCAATGAGCCATCTACTTTCTTTTGGCATCCATTTAAGTATTCTAAGGATAATCAGGAACCTCTTCATATTGAATTGAACGGTTTCGTGTTGAATAAAGATGATAAGAGGGACTGAACGACCTTTTCTGAAAATGATAGAAGGGTTGCTGAGAACAGAGACATCCTTGATCTGACTAATTATGGATTGCTAAGGTGGAAAACGCTTAGCAGGGGGAATTGAATTAGACACCAGCTCGAAGTTGCAGCCATGTATTTGGACAGCCTGTGGCATAATTCAGACTAGCTATGTTTATATCTTAAACAATTAAACTAGGGATGATGGTGACATGAAGACTTGATGTCTATCATTTAAAGGGCTTAATCTGACTAATTTGATAGTGGGGAGCCATTGCCCTAGAAATTGTTCTCAGTATTCGGGACCTGCAAAGAGAAAAAAAAAAAAACAAACAAACGGCAAAGTGAAGTTTCTTTATATCCTTAAAATCTCACCCTTATTGGTTCCAATTCTCAATGCTTTGGATGCCATTTCTGAGTACAAGCCAAAAGCGAAAAGGAAATGTCAGGAAATATCAAATTAGTGCTGCTTCTATAGGTCTCCTTCCTTGCTGGTAGTATTGGAAGTATAGACTGACATAATCTTTCACTTTCTTGTATAATTTGGGCCTTGTCTCATTGATGAGCTCTTCCGCTGGTTGAATCTCTTGATCCGGATGTGGAATGCAGAAAACAGCGAGGGTAGTCCTCTCCCTTTCCGAGTTTGTCGACACCCGGTGTACTGGGCTCTTGAATATTCCATTAGTCATTATCTATGTGCAGTTCATGGAACCACTAATGTCAGTCACATGTCAATTATCCCTATATTCTTGATTTATAGCATCAAATTTATACAGCGGAAACTGACATATCTTTTACAAAAGAACTTCTAATTGATGGATTCTAATTGATGGATTATCTAAGTGGTACTGATCAGTCTATTCTTATAGAGTGCTTATTATGAGATCATTGGGGCCATTACCTCTACTTGATCACCTACATTGATCAGGAGGGCATGAGGAATGATTGGAACTTTAAACCATTGATCATCTTTCAGGATTTGAAGACCTTCTACTTCTTTGTCTTGCAATAGTATGGTGATTGCTGAACCATCTGCATGAGGTTTGACCCCAAGAACAAGATCAGGCCTTGGACATATAGGATATAAATTGAATCTTGCTTGCATTATTGCTTGGTCTCCATATTGGTGCAAGAAGAGGTTCTCCTCCAAGTTTAGTGACCTTGCCATTGCCTTTAAGAGGACTTCGGCGACCACTTGCAGTTTAATCGTATATTCATGTAAAATTCCCCTGCAACAGATATGACAAATATGGTTAAGTTTTATAATTGCTAACCTTCCTTCTTGGTGTTTTATTTTCTTGTTGTATAGGTAGCAAAGTAGTTCATAGATTGGATGTTTTAGGTTACGGGGAAGTAAAGGGCAAGATCAAAATACCTTAAAGGTTCAGGATTTTCGGGCCAGAATTTGAGTGTTCGCTTATCTTCTGGGCTCAGCGTAAGATACAATCGATCAGTCCAATCAAGTATCTGATGCTCCCAGAGGATCATGTCATTCCCGTACCCTTCAATTCTGCCAATTTCTCTGGAGCATTTCTTCTTTTCTTCCGTTGGAAGAGCAAAGAATTGCTGAGCAACTTCTCGCACTTTGTCCAGAAATTCACTTGTAATTCCATGATTGATTGCCTGAAACTCTCAAAATAATTCTCAGGTTTGAAGTTAGAGTGGTGGAAGTTGTTTTATTTGTGACTATTCATGTATTCTGAGATTACTAATTGATGATAAAGTTTTAAAAGATGCCTTAAACCAGATCAGATCAGATGCTTAATTATACTCATTCTTTCAATGCTTTATGGTTTAAATATAGACTGATGTCAAAGTCATAAAAAATTTTGTTTGATGAGCTATTGAATCCCCAAGAAATTTGAGCTACTCTTAGTATTTTATGTTGTTGGACTATGTTGTCTTGAAGAGCTTTACGAACTGAAGTTAAAATACAGTAAAATCGACTATGTTCTGAAAGTCACGGAGTTTGAAAGGTAATTTTCTCCAGAATAGTGCCAAGAACCAGACCTGAATGCAACCACAGGAGCTGAGTGCTGATCTAAGTTTCTCAAGTTCTTCTCCACTTGTAGATGAAGATGAAAGGAGATCAAGATCGATAGTTGGAACGTCAAACACGGGAAAAGAAGCATGAGGGGCTCCACTGTTATCCCCTTTACGGATGTATCTTTCTGGGACCTCTTTACAGTCGATAGCCGCCAGTTCCTGCACAGTTTTGGCTTGGGGTTGAAGCTCGATAGGAGGGAGAGGTTCAGCCATATTGCCTCAGAAAGTAGCTGGGGATGTATAGACCCTTTCAGTTTTCGGGTTGAGCTGCTGTTATGATGTCTGTTACCAGAAGGGGTTTTTATTAGGGCAAAGCAAAGCCTAAGGATTCTGCTAGTTCAAGCCTGCTAGAGAGATGGAAATCAAGGTTAGATTCTTGAGCTGGCGCATAGACTTGACCCAGATACACAAAGGGGTAAAGACCTTTCTTCCCTGCTGATTGGTGAATAAGAAATGGATAAATATTTCCAAGCTAATATATAGCCCCTTTTTTTAAAATATCTTAGCTTTTATAGTTTCTGCCTGACATCATTCACGACTCTGTCCACTGCTTTTAAAATTGGTTTTTGGACTGGAATTATGTATTCAGCGAAAAAGTTTTCGTTAGAAGTGGGAGCTTGTCAAAAACATCCCAGGAAATCTTAGGTTGGTTTGTAAAATTCAAAAGTTCGATTTCTAATCAGCCTCTATTTCCTCCAATTAAGGCCCTTCAAAAACCGCTTCCTTTGGAGGGGTTTGAAGCTTGGTTTTCTCTATTGGCTTTCACAACTACAATAGCAGGGGAAAGAAGATTACAACGTGGATCTGAACTAAGTAAATATTGGGAAATAATCCAAATTGATGTTCCCAATAACATTAAGACAAAGCAGCCAACTATTGGACAAAATCATGAAAAAGAGCGATTCAACTTGCTTCATTTTTTTTTTTCAAGATTTTTATATATTTTGATGAAGTAAACAGGTAGTTCGGTTGGAGAGATATCATATCCTGTCACATCTCAAGCTGGTGACAACCGGTGAAGGTGATGCCTTTGCAGGCAAAGGTGTATTATTATTATTATTATTATATAATACATTCTTGCCCAACTTGGAAGTTCGACGGAGTACAGAATAATCTTCAACTATACAATCAGGGAAAACTCGCGATGTGGCTTGTACAGCTTCTAACCAACATTGCCTTGTTAAAGTACAAAGTTTAACCTTGACTTGCCACAATCAGGACATTTGAGCATTTCCTTGGTGACAACTATTCATTCAGTCGGAAAGAGAGGAAGAATATGGATCGAAATTGTGTTTCTTGGTTTCTATATCATTTAGAAGATGATGCAAAGCCTTTTTCTGACCATCACAAAGAGGAAGAACAAACAATAGACCTCCACAGACAATGCAGTCGAAGTGATAGCAGCGAAATCTCTGAGTGGCCTGTAAGATTGTGGTCTTTTTTCTTGTATCATATTCAGCTGCTCCTATCTCCACATAGTTCTGGAGAGTAGAACAGGGCAAGAAATGCCCTTTTATTTCATTCAATTTGATACCGTCCTGAATGGTTGCCCTTGAAAATTTCATTAATAAAGTTAGAAAATACATTTTATAGGGCCATTTTATGACAATTTATGACATTTCAGGAATTGGTAAAAAGAGTCAGATATTAAATATCATATGAATTCTTTGTACCTATAATCTGCTGCATAGAAACTAATATCAATGGCTAAAATTTTTTGTATAGCTTCAACGTCTTTGCATGAAAGCTTGCTCCTACATTTAGACTAATCATATATTTTCATTATTTATGTCAATTACATAATGAAAAATCATATGATTAAACTACATGCTTCATTAATAGGCTTAAATTCTCAATTGATCACTGTCTCAATTTTAAGCTTCAATTATAATTCTTTCTTTTCCTGCTTCAGGATTATCATATAGAGCACAGATGAAAAATAAATAAGCCTTAATGAAGTTACCTTCAAAGCAAAACAACAATAACACTAAATTTAGTTATTACATTCTGGTAGATGAAGGTACTCCACAAAGCATGTATCAGAATCTACGGAAGAGCATTAATCCTTGTATGATCCTATAGTCAAAGCATGAAATTTTACTTCCTCAAGTGCAACTTTGCCTTTCTGAAAGCATTCATAGTTGAAAGAAGCATAATTTTTCACGTTTCTATATATAACCTTGGCCTGTTATCATCTATCAAGCCTTCAACAGGTCCTATCTCCTTCTCTGGCTTTTCCGTATTAATCATTGCCACAGATATCCTCAACTTATCTGTGTTCGTCACCACCCTGTGTACTGGGCTCTTTAATATTCCGTTACTCATTATCTGCATCAATTAATACAAATTAAACGAATTCCTCACAGCTTTTCATTTGCTGCTCACTTCTATAGTGTAGAGATTTTAGATGCAAGTAGCCAAGTATGGTTAATGTTATAATTTCTATTTCTTTTGATGGTCAATGCCATGGTTTCTGTTAAGAAATCTTACTTATTTCCAGGAAATTACAAGTTAGATTAGAGCAACTTTGCTTTGTGTTTTGTTTGTTAGGAGTGAATACAGGCAATAGAAGCTGCTCAAACAATGAATAAAGAAAACCAGATTATTTCATCCAAAATTTACCCTGGTTTCTTCTCCGTTTTCCTAAAGCAAAACTGCTGCTTGTATCCTTCTTATAGTTGATGCAGCACTCTCAAAACTTAAACCGTTTTTAGGGCGATCACCGATTATTCTCAAAGCCACAAAATAAATTCCATGTTATGTAGTTCTTATGAGTTGTACCTAGAGGGTAAAAGGTACTGGGTGAAAGACCAGCCAACGTATTTGTCGGAGGGAATATGTTCTCTCCATAGTCCATAGTGTTCAAAATTTTGGATGCTAATTAGTATATTTTTTTAATAAAAATTATACCTGCAAGTTACTCTCTAGGCTGATAAACTATCCTCTATATGTTAGTCTCTAGGCTTGACACCAAAGCCTAGGATTGAAAGCGTCTATCATTTGAAATCCAGGGTCTTAAACTGACTAGTGGCTAGTGGTTAGCACTAGCATTTAAAATGATTGGAAATGCATGCAAAGGTAATATTCATGCATTCCTGTTATACAGTTGGAGCATACCCTCAACTTTCTTGTATCTACAGAATGTTGCAATCATACATCAAAGCATACTTTTCCATGAATTACATCGAACGGTTATTTCCTCAGATTTTCCTTGTAGGGTATTACCAACACTGTCGGAGCAGTGCCTGGAATTGTAGGTTTTGCCTTTACCGGTTTTCTTCTTGATTCAACTCATTCATGGAGTGTAAGTTTCATTTTCTAATTGGAAATGATGCCTCTCCCCTCCCCGAATAATGTAAAGAAATAACTCTGCACGGTCCATATTTTTCTAATTGACTGGTGCCATTGTCTGGTTGGCATTCGCTAGCAGTAAGCCTCAAAGCTCTTCGGTGATTGATTGACCTTGTTTCTGTGAATTATAGCGGTTTTCCTGATTGAAGCATCGAAACTGATAGACACAGTGTTCGAGGTGTCCCAAATTTGACCCTCTGAACAGTGCCTAAGTGAAAGTTGACCATGTCCGATATTCGTAGTTGGTAGTTGTTCATATACCTGCATAGAAAATATACATGTATGATTGAAACTGTGATTTGCTTGATATAATTTGTAAATTAAAGTAAAAGGTTTTGGCCACCAAATTGTACTGAAAATATTTGCGGTTCTAAAAATCTTTGCAGATGCTTACTGGAGCTAGCAATCAGTAATAATCCTAGGAAAGTGCAATACATCCGTGCTGGATATCTTATCCTCTCCTCTCTCTTCCGAACAATAACAGACACATTCCCTCATGAATAAAAATTAGGCCAATCTATATGGTGGTTTGTTCTCGTACCGCCTGTTATATGACAAATAACAAGTTTGTCGTACCAGGGATCGACTTAGTGGTAGGCAATTATATTAACTCACATGCAACCTACTGAAAGCTGTTAGGACAACAGTTAGGGCAAGTCCATGCTCTTATGGACCCTGTCAAAAGATAACTTTTGCAGGTGATTTGCACCAGAATTTGGCTCATTGTTAGCTAGAGCGGTAAGGTTGTTTTGCTTCTTATGTATCAATTCATCACATCTATACACTCATCTTTACCATAGAAACTGGGATGAAGAAAGGGATTACGAGTGTTTATGGAAAAAATATGTTGCATCATATGATTCACCATGGGCAAAATGAAATATTAGCAATATGTTCTATTTCTTATTTGACCGATCACTAAAAGGAACCAATTTTTTATACCTTGCAAGCAAGGAGAATAACATCTGGCATGTGAGTGAACACAATGGATAAAGGAGCAACCATTATTGGCTGTGATGAAATTACATGTAAGGGCTCCAAAGGAGGTATGATCCCAGACGAATTTACACTTAAAATGTTTCCATTAAGTAGCATGGTTTGGCTGTGTAAATTTCCATCTTTTGCTGTTAGATGGTATTCCTCTCTTCTGATTCCAGCATCACTGCCTTGAGGCAGCTGGATAATCAATTTTTTATGAAAACTGTGCTTGTGGTGCGAAACCCTAGACCTGTGCTTGTGTTGCACGGTCACTCTATTGTTGAATGCAAGATTTGCCTGGACAGTGGTGCTATTGTCAAGGTTGATCAAAAGTAGCGTTATGCCATTCTGCAAGATAGGAAACTTCGGTCAAATAATTAGAAAGGGAAGATTACCTGCTCGTTAACTGCAATATGAGACCTACTGATTGTTTTGCACAGTGAGTGTAAGAGCGTATCTTTTTAGTCCCAGCAAAGCTTGTAGACAGAACATTTCTTCCCATTAATCGGTGCCAAAGAAGAGCACTGCAATGAAAACAGAGTATCATGCACATGAGGCTTAGATAACCTACTGTAGATTCTTCATTAGGACAAAAGTATGAATATCTCAAGCTCAGCCTCAGCTTCTGATGTGAAATGGCAAATAGATAGGTTGACCTAGTTGTGCAAGGCATAAATGAAGTGTCAATGGGGTATCAATCTGTTTCAGGGAAATTTATTGTCACTGATTACCATGATAACCATCTTTAGAGTTTTGCATTTCCCTTTCTCTTAACACAAATAATCGAAAGCTTATTTTGAAGTATATGGAAATAAACGATTGCAGTCATAAGGGCAGAAAGAAGAATCTTATGTTTCTTTTTCTTTATGGGAAAAATGTAGTAATGAATTCTAGTTCCGTGTCTTCATAATGAAAGAATTTCGCAAAGAAATAACCTGTAGTAATCTGGATTTGGTACAAAAGTGGTAGTGTTTAGTAAACCATAATTTCCACCAATCAGTGATTGTCTGCAGTAAGTTTTGGTATCATACTTTGATGCCATGCCAAGTTGATCTTACCTGCATTTCATGTCCAAGGTAATATCACTTAAAATCAATCACAGCAAAAGGACTAAGTTTCTTGATAGCAAGTTATTGCCAATTTACCAGAAACTGAACACAAATGCATTTGTTACAAGATTATGGCCACTGTTGTATGCTCCTCCTGCCTCACCCACCCAGGCAGTTGCTGAAGTTGTAGAATTCTTGATGATGTTGTGAAGGCCACTGAATGTTCCGGACTCACCATCAAGAACGGATGGATTAAGAATCTTTTCAACAAGGTGCTCATCGACTCCTACGCAGAAGAATATGATTGTCAAGTAAGAAACTTCTTTCAAGTCTTAAGCTCCTATAAGATTCGAATACTGGATTGTACAAGATGAATTACACCTGGTCCAAGATTGTATATATGGTGAGTGACCACATCTAAGGATTTTGTTGTTTTATTGATGAATTCTTTGA